AACGAGTCCTCCGCAGCTCGTAGGCTTGATATACGTTGTCAATCTCCTAGACGAGCCACCGGCTGGTGTGCTTCAGATAGGCCTAATGGTTAACGAACGTTCATTCGTCGAGACAGATCGTCGACCTTCGATCGCCGGCCGTCTCGATTCCTCTAATTCTTTTTGCGGGCCTCGCCCTCGCGGGAAGATACGCTCGGATGGTCGCAGCTTCACTACCTCGTAGCCTATATAGATACCAACCACCGGCTTCCCTTCGGTAGCCCGTCTGGTTTTTTGGTAGCAGTTCGCCAGAGTCCTACCGCCACCGCGGCGAGCCTGTCTGCCTTAAGGCCGCTCTTCCTTTCCGAAGCAGGAACGCCGGATGGACAGCCAATAGCGAAAGGCGCGAGTCACGTTTACATTTATATAACACACACGTGTAACTACATTTGTTTTTATATATTTTTTTACAAAGACGACATTGTTTTTAATAACTCCTTATGCTATTTCTTTTTTAGATCGTATCTATCTAATTACATCTTAATTAATCGTTTAGGTAAATGAAAATGATGATTAATAATGCATCAAATCGTATTAATAGACGCTATATCATTTGCGATTATGAAATACAACTTGTAACTACAAACGTTTGGAATGTTGATACGATTAAAACACAAAACTTTTATAAAATTCTAAGATAAAAATTCATTTTTAAATGTCACATTTTTTATGTTGCGTCTATTAGAGTGTAAAACGCCAAAGAGCATTCTGACAAAGAAAATTATTTTTTAAGGAAATGAAAATGTTTTTTGTATGTATCTATGTCTTCAAGAAATAATGAACATAAACTCGCGCGCTAATCGTACCCATCACTATCGTGGCGCAGTGGCCAGTATATGGGCAGATCGTGCAGGAGAGAAAGATCAAGCGCTCCACCCACGCCCACGTCTCAACCTGTTCTGTTTCTCCCGTCGAGCCACGGTTACAGGTGCCCGCTCGAGGGCATTCCTGCTGGAATTCTTCACCGATGATCGTCCGCTCCGTTTTCTTGCAAACTCATATCCTCGAATCATCACATGTGTATCAAATCGTAGATAGCAGCATCTTTACTACTTCTCTTTCTCGATACGAATATTTTGCTTATATCGAACTGAATGTAATATATTTTTCTTTTCACAAAAAAAATTATTATTAATTTTTATAAATATTTTGTTGTATACTTTTAAAAAATCAATACTGTCTTACATTTTTCATATATCTTAAAATTTTTGTATCATTAGATTAGCACTTGAAAGCCTTAATCTAAATTTTTTAATCATCAAGGGAACACTTCTTAAATATCATATGGAAATTATTTTTTATGTGCATTTTGTTAACTTAAGATAATTTCATTAAATGGAAAAGAATAAGAGAAATAAAGAGAGTAATGAAATATCGCAGCAAACTCTCTAGAAGGGTACTCCTCGATCCTGAGCGAAGGCAAAAAGGAAAAAATCAAGGTGGTGGGAAGGTAGCGAGTAAGTACGCCCACACCGTCCTCTTTAGGGGACCTGTTCTCGACATTTACGTTCTGATATCTTTTCACTTCGTTTACGAGTCCCCTTTACGTTTTACGACCGATCATCGAGACCCTTTCTCTCCGCGAATGAAGGCGGAGAAGGGTAGGACAAGTGGCGGCGCCGAGAAGAATAAAAGAATAGCCACTGTAGTAAAGAAGAAAGGACCGAAGCGCCTCGAGCACCGTCAAACAAGATTCATTACGGATCTTCTCTAATCGAAGCGCTATTCTATGACATGAATGCGTTCAGATCTATTATCTATTCTCTTTTGATTGATGCGGTTTTGTAATCAAGCCATGCAAGTATCAATCTATGAATTGACAGCATAAATATAACTTTTGTTAAGAAGACATCTAAAACCAAACACTTTATCCAAGAACAACCTCCCGCTAGGAACGCGCGTTCTTTTCTGTGACGCCACTACATGCGTCCTGCAAAAGTGTCATCTGGCTAATAAAAACAATCACTATGCCAACATCTTAATATTCATTCTGTCTCTTTAAGAGAACAGCATAACAAGACTTTCGAATGCGCATAAAGCAGTTTTTTTGTGCGACAAAGGCGCGACAGCGACGAGTCCTTATTCTAGAATCCCGAGAATGCCCCGGTGCGGTGGTGCAAAGTTGAAGGACGCACGTGGATTGAAATAAATCGCGGATTCAGCCGCATTAAGTCACTTAAGCGACGTCATTTAAGCGACTATCGAAGTCCGCCTCTCGCTGCCGCGCGATGGGACGGTGGCCAGGAATTCGCATGTTTCTCCATGAACGGATTTCTCGGTATTCATCGGAGGTAAGCGGGGCCGGCCGCGAAGATCGGTCTCGAAACGGCGCACTACGCACGTACGCGTCGGTATGCAGCACGCTGGAGCCGCTGGAAAACCGTTGGACAATTCTCCACATCCGCGTCCGCGACGCGACATACCGCGTTTTTCCAGGAAGCTGAGTAGAATCTTTATTCTACGATCGTGACGTGCTATCGAGACCGACGGCAGACTTGCAATTGAGATTATGCACGCACACGTGGCGCCAAGATACCGTCACATCGGGTGCCATCGTATGTGTATTGGTTTTAAAAAGATACCTCGCAGTTTGATTTCTCATATTTAATGATGTATTTAGTCAGCAAAACTGAAAGATCCTAAAAATCTGATTTTAATTTCTTTTGCTGTCCTCTTAGTTTCATTTAATATATAAACACTTACAGAAAATTAATCGATTATTTTAATCTAATATGTCTCTCTTTTAACGCCGTTGGTTAACGAAAACGATGCAAAATCCTCATAAAGTTCATCATAAGTTTTACCGAGATTGGATAACGTCGCATCATAAGTAGTTATTTACATCATGTTTGATTTTTAGGATTTTATAAACTTTTTATCTGTAAAAGAGCTGCAAGTAAGAAGAACCGCCGGTAAAGGAGTCCCCAGAGTTAATTTTTTTAAAGTGCTGCACATGAACAATAGAAATTCGCCCACGCCGTCAAAAAATCACGGTGTTAAATGCCAGTCATCGGTAGTCTGTTCGTTGATTCACGTGCTCGTGCTCGCGCGATTTAAATTTCAAATATTCAGCAGATACATCTCTCACGTTACATCGCGCGGTCTTATGACAAAGTGACGTTGTCACATCGATCGATCGAACAAGACAAACAGTGTGGTCCACACACATACATTTACATGGTGGATTAAAATAAATATTTTAAAAATCCCACACGACTCTTCGTCTATATTCGTTTCGTGGGAATTAGGTCCCCGTAGAAAATTCTGTATATTCAACCAAGAGAACACAGAGTTCATTATTCATTATCATTATCATTATTCATCTGTCACTTCGTGAATCGTCAAAAATACGCAATTTTCTACACTTTTAGAAACGCGCAATAATGTTTTAATAGATATTCAATTAACCCATGACGAATCTCTTCCGTTTCTAATTAATTTCCTTAGTAACGACCGTGTTTCAATAAATGATGATGCCGCTTGTTTACAAAGTGGGCAAGATTCTTTTATCGAGAACGTTAAAAAAAGTTCCGTTAGTCGCGGAGTGGTCGAAACGGGGCTGTATCGCGATAATCGGCACGGGATCGAGCGCGATCTCGTCGAGAGGCGATCGTCTCTCGGCTTTTAATGGCGGCCACGGACTAATGACAAATGATCGGTCGATATCGCGGCGCAAAAACGTGACGAATATTCTAATCGCGTCTTGTTACGACAACTTGGCGCTTCTTCGTCGTCTCCCCCATTCTCTAGAAGACCTCCGTTACCTCGATTGCCATTCGTTCTAAGACGAGTCACGCGCAGTCCACACCTGTTGGTCTTGCACGTCAATACCTGTTTTTTTGGGATTGGTAAGATGGCAAGATTATATGCGAACGGTCATTCACACTGATATTTCATTGCTCTCGCGATTAATATAATAATTATATTTAACGTTTTGTAAAAGAATTAATTTTCGACACTTTTTATTTTTGATGTTGCTCACGTTAACCTATTTGCTTTTAACATAAATTGCATTTCATGACAGAGACCCGATGCATAGACCGATGTCTTATTTTATAATATTTATATGTTAAACTCTGTACGGTATATGAACAATTTTTTCAAAAGTCGTACAATAAAGTCTATTCTTGCTGGTCTATTTTAATAGACATACTAATTGTAAGTTTTGTACTTTTGTAATATTTCTTTTTAATTTATTAAATTTTGCGCTTAAAATAGCGAAAATATATGAACGCTTATAAATTTTAAATTATTTGTTATAATTAATAATATTATTTGCATTACGTGAGATCATATTAAACATGAATTGATCGAAGTTTATGTCTCTCGGAATATTATCATTAACCACGTTTCATTTACAAGTAGCGCTATCATAAATTCATATATTATTACGAAGTCATAGTTTATTAGCACCTGCGAATCTAAACCTCGCCCGTATAAATGTCACCACGATATGTCAATTACTATCATTAGCAAGCTAGCGTTGTTAACAACAACGTTGCGCCAACAAAATACTATCTAATTCAATGGCGCTCAAATCTCAAAGTATAATAACATATAATTGGAAGTTATTTCTCTGAAAATTAATTTGCGTTCAAGTGAAATTATATATCTTGTGAAATTCAAGCCCGAGTCACATACTCTGAATAATTTCTAACATAAATTGGAAAAAAGATCACGACAGAAGCAAGTAAAGTAATATATCTATATAAACCTTAGCGTATAGACATATATCAACATAATAAGGCATAATTTAATTCAACGATTAAACAGATTATCGAAATAATAATTAAGCAAATGCACATGTGCGATAATTTAATCTATAAACGTCACCGCACACTTGTTCATTGCTTCAGTGCTTCAAGTACTGTTTAAACGCTAAATTAAATAATTTATTTAAACTCGTATAGATAACATGAGCATCTTCGAATAACCACATCATCATCTTTTAATTGTTTCAGGACGAGGTGGGTGGTAGTACGGTGGTAGCCGAGGGTGTCGTAGGTGGCATAAGGGGCCCAGGCGGCGGGTGCCGCGCATCCTCGATGACGATGGCCGAGAGCGCCGTGGAGGACGCCGCAGCCGCGCCCCCGGGCCCGGCCAAGCCGCCACCACCCTCCTGTACAAACAACAACACCCTCGCGGCGACGGCCAACCGCAACCACCGGAACCCCCGCAAGAAACGAAGACGGTTGGAACAAGTAGTGGACACATTGCAGGCCCATCGCAGTTCACCATCCGAAGGCGAGGTGTTGAAATTCGAAGGCAGCGGCCCTGTGTCCGAGGAGGAAGATGTCTTCGGCTCGCCCAGATCGTCGTCCTCGCGATCCGCTGTGGATACCACCGCCGTGATTGGCCAACTACCATTGAGGTTAAAAGATGCGGAAGCAGTGATGTCAACCGAAGAGGAGTTCAACGAAATCAGTCAGCAGTATCACCATCATCCCCACCGACCATACCGATATTCGTATCATCAACATCACCATCATCGACATCGTTACTCGCCCTATCAGAACAACCACCGATTGTCGGCGACCAAGTACTCGGACTGTATGTGCAGCCAGTGCTCACAATCGCTGGCTGCGTCGGCAGCGATGATGTCGGCGACCTCTCTGCAGACACCGCTGTCGCGAACCAGCTTCACGTACAGCAGTATATGCGGCACGTATAGCATATTCGAGCAGTACATGCATACCAAGTACCTGTCGTCGTCGTCACCAGGCGACACCTTCCGCGGACGCAGTCACTCCGATTCAGATGTTGTGCCCAAGTGGGACGAAACGCGGGTACCAGCCGCGACCACTTCCTTTTCCTCTGTCGTCAATCATCCTCCGCGAAGTAGCTCTCTCGAGAGTGATGGTACAAGTCCTCAAGAATCGCCGTTGGATCTCTCTATGAAGAATCTGATGCTACAGTCCACCGCGGCTGCTTCGGCAGCCTCCAGCAGGTCACCGTCTCTTCAGTTGCTACCGTCTGGCATCGTAACGCGGGGTTCCGTCAGCGTGCCCGTAGTCAGGGGCGATGTCGCATCACCCACGACAAAAGAAAGCGTTGCAGTACGGTATAATTTGGAGGTTCTACCCGTCGTTGAGGAAATGGCGCCGGGCGCGGACGTGGCTTACGTCTGTCCAGAGTGCGGACAGATGTTCAGTCTGCATGATCGTCTGGCAAAGCACATGGCATCCAGACATCGTCGACAAGGTCTCCATGATGCCTCGGCGAAAGCATACCTCTGCGACGTGTGTCAGAGGAGTTTTGCGAGGTCGGACATGTTGACCAGGCATATGAGACTGCACACCGGCGTCAAACCGTACACATGCCGGACTTGCCGACAGGTGTTCAGCAGATCTGATCACCTCAGCACCCACCAACGAACTCATACCGGCGAGAAGCCGTATAAGTGCCCGCAGTGTGCCTATGCAGCCTGTCGCAGGGATATGATCACCAGGCATCTAAAAACCCACAATCGGTGCGCGGACGGTCCTATCCCCAAGACCGAACCCGGTCTACTCGCTGGTGAGGAATGTCCCACTTTCGACCAAAACGTGACAGGGACGCCATCGGCAGTTATTAAAGCTGAATGACAACGATCGGTCGGATGACCCTGGTTGCACTCTAGCTCCAAAACTCAGCGAGGACATCGCGATAGGATCGATCGAGGATCCTCAGGAACCTTCGCGGGTCGATCAGGACTTCGTGGGAACATGTTGAGAGAGCGAAATCACCGCTCGACAACCTTCATGACATTAGCCAAGCGTTAGAAAAAAATCGATACTTGAAGAGATCGCGGATCTTGATGGAATAAGAGAATCGACGAGAGGCAAGATTTGTTTTGTTGTCGTAATTCGATTTCGCAAGAATTCCGACGGACACTAATCAGAGTCTGTGATCGAGCTTGAACTTCTGAGACGACTATTTTGAAAGAGATTGCAGCTAGACGCGTTAATTTCATTCTTTCGCTGCACTTTGAAGTTCCTACAGAAAAGTTTATAATATAACCACATCAATATATTTAAAAAATTTGTTAATAGATTTATGCAAATCTAACGATTATTTCTTCTCTTTTCTCTTTAATTTATGATATTAAAAAAATTGGAAAATACATTAACAGTGTGCATGTAACTTTTTCTACAAAGTGACTTTTTTTTGCTTCAAAATTATTGCAACGTTTCGCAATCTTTTACTATATTTGCAAACTTGAAATCTCCCTTATGCACTCTGCTCAGCGAAAGAGTTAAATTCGCAGTCGAAAGCAGCATGGAGAGCTGAATAATAAAAATGAACTTCGCTCCCGTGAGTATTATATTGTATTTATCAAAAAATAAATTATTTTTTGTTTAACGATTTTTTTTACGGATTGCCTAAAAATTATCATCTTTCACGCGTCACACGCGATCGCGCGCGTTAACAGCGAACAATGCCGAACAGTATTATCGTACTTCTTCGCCCTCCGCATCTGATTCTGTTTCCGCGATTCGAGTTTTATTCTTCCTAATGTTTCATCGCGACACACAATATCGTGACTACAACTTCGGCCAAGGAACAGTCCGAGAGTAATCTATTTGCATGCGTAATAAATTATTAATTTATCAATAAACTTATTTCTCGTCTCATTTGCAATTATTATTTGCATAACATATATCTTTATGTATATTCTAATAATGTTTTCAAAATTTAGAAATTTTCTTAAAACTTAATCTTATTTTTTTTTTAAGATCTTATTTGGTTATCAACTGTATCGATTGCTGTTCTCGGAGATTTCTTGATTGTCATGGGAAAGATACGGCACCTAACCAGTTGCTCTCTTTGTACATCTTTCGCTTTTTCGTTCTCGAGTATATAAAATTGAGACACATACAAGCTGAAAATAAAGCATTCCTGCTCGGCCGCACAAGTGCACGGAGGTACATGAAAGCGGTGCTTAAAGGCTCAGCGTTAGAATCGAATCGTGTTTTTATCGTGCTCGTAAAACGATCACATGTCTAATAATACTGTATGTACATAATCAATCACATCGCGCGTCATTTCTTCGCGAAAAACTTTCCTAATCTTTAACATTAACTATGTAGAGAAATCTGGAACGTAGCCCGTCGGCGACGCGAACATACGTGCCAAATTTTAGATGAATATTTCGGACACGCGATTAACACACGCATCAACCCCAGTAAATTGTATTTCGAGGTTTAATGAAATCTATTTCTTATTTTTTATATAAATTCTTTAACTAAAAGACAAATCGAAACGTAAATCGTTGTCCAGAATTTAATATGATTTAAAATCATATTAAATTAATCGAAGATACAACAAAAGATTAATATAAAAGATTATAAAAAAGATTCATTAGACCTCAGTGAGCAGTTTTAGAGTTATCCTGTTTAGAACATATCTGTCGATCGAGCGCGATTTGCGGGACGGAGAAAAACTATTGGTGACGAGAGAATAATCTCGTCAACAATCTCAAAAGAAGGCGAGACAGAATCAAATCAATCAACGAGATAATTTCTCTGATTGAAAGTTTATTTACCGCCAATATTTTTCTCATGTGTCCATATCTATAAATAGCGAGTCGCCATTGGTAACCTCGTCGATTCGCCCGAAACCTGCTCAAGTTGTTGTTACTTGAAAACTTGTTAAGTCGACTTTCTATAGAAGTCGAAAAAAGCAAAAACAGTGATGTATTGATAGTTATAAATGTAATCGTGATCATTGTTTTGCGATGGACATTTTGTTAATGCGGAGTCGGGAAATCACGCGATCGCAAGAATAAGGACAATGTGAAAAAGAAATAAACATATTCGTACCTGCAGAAAGAGGGAGAGAGAGAGAGAGAAAGAGAGAGGAGAGGGAGAGAGAAAAAAAATGATGTTAAAGCATAATAAAGCGTATAGAAATAACGTTAATTAGTGAGTAATATTATTGACACTATTATTGCGTTTTATTATTATAACTATTACGATTATTAATTATTCGCGCCGCCGCACACCGGTAAGGAGATAAAATATTTTTTTATACAATGCACTTGAAGTATGTGACTTCGCGAAAGGCTTCGAATACGTGAAAGCGCGAAGTTCAGTTTGAAAGTTGTTCTCACCTCGAAATTAATACTAATTAAGTAACGTCGAACGTCACGAGAAATGATAACGTCGGCGTCAGTTCGTTACGTTATCGAGGAACGAACATTCAAATTGACAAGATCGATACGGTCTCTTCGAATTTTTTTAACGTTTTCTTGTAGAAGCTAAGTAAATAAGTATACGCGAACAGCGGTCGTTGCGGCGCGATTAATCGAAACTGGTTGTGGTGCTTAAGCGAAAAAGGGCGAATCCGACAGGTATCTTTGCGCTGTGAATCGACGAAGACAATCTAAAAGTATACTCAAGCCATGATCTCCGTACGGATAAGGTAGCCAGACCGAGTAAATGGCGGATTGAATCTGGTAATGTTGCTCTAATAGATCTACAGATTTTGAAAAAAGTACTTTATGCATTATTTACCAATATTTCTCTCACATATCGTAAAAATGTATAAGATCTAGAGAAAAATTACAGAGAAAACAAAAGCAAATATGATAAAACGTCGAAAATAAAGATTTAAATAAGTGCATAGTAAGGTATTATGCACTTATTCTACAAGAGTATTCTTAGAGATACTCTTATGTTGAAATGCATTAAACGAAATTTAATCTCGCTGTTTGCTCGGTACCGCGAATAAGTTCGTCTCTCGTTTCGGAAACGTCAATTCCATATAGTTTTACGATAGTCATATGGTGACTCGTTGAGCAGCACGCGCCGACATAATACTCGAGCTTACTCAGCCTCGATCGTTTTGTCCTTAATCCTTATCCTATACGTATGTATATTTGTGTACTTCCCCGATGTATCTCCTATTCCTCGTCGAAAAAAAAAGTAAAAGTATCAACACGCGCTAATACACGCGTGGCACGCGCATAGGTATATCTCTGTATTTTTGTATATCGAGATTTTTTCTAATTACCTATCTACCGATTAAGCGTTTTCAGAGGACGAGTAAGTAGCTATTGAGGAGAAAGTATTGTTGCTCTCTGCTTGCCATTTTACTTGCCCCCTTGATCAAACAATTGCTTGCGGTGTTTTTCGTATGGTGCGACGCGCGAGGGAGGATCGTCGAGTCGGAGGACACTCGTTTCGTTTTTTAATCGATAATAGTCGGAATACATGTGCGGCAATGCGATCGGCTACCGTTCTAAAATCAAATGAAACGTATTTTTTGCTAATTGCTTTTTTTTAACTTATAAATTAATTAATTACGAAACTAAAAATACTTCAGGATTATAAACAAAAAAATATACATTTTTAATATGTGATGTGCGATTAATTTTCAAGTGCCATCGAGTCTTTGACGCGTTCCAACGTTTTTTTTTGTTTCTTTTGTCATATTTCTTTTGCGTGATTATTAAAACGAGAGCATCGAGACCTCTTACTTGACGTTATCCCTCGCACCAATTCAGCCTTAAACTGACAGAATCTCTTGCGTAATAAGTCTGTAGTAACTTAAGTAAGAAAAGAGACGTGAGAAAAGAACAAAACACGTTCGCGTCTTTGGGCAGTTAAGCGATCGCCGTGCCAGACCTGTTCTTGTAATTATTCACAAGTATATATAGCCATTCGTATGATTATTATTATTTCTATTATTAATATTATTAATTATTATTAATATTATTATTATCTCTAGTTACGTTGTTAAGTGATTAATCATGTTTATGCTTCTATTATTTATTTTGTTATCCCGTTCATGAGTCAAGCTTTCTATTCTTCTCTCTTGTCTTTCCTCATTATCTCCATTCTTTTCTTCCTCATCCTATTATATGATTTTCCGTTTTACTTATCTCCATTTGATTCATTTATCCTTTACCGTCACCGAATCGGAAGAAGGGAGAGAGAGTTCAACTTACACGAAAAAAATTCATGGCAATGTCTTATAATATATATTTAACACATTTTCAACTTGAATATAAGACAAAACATATTTTGAATCTCAAACTCACCTCCCTTTTCTCCAACTTACACGGCACAAAAGAGCTTGTCTCCGAAGAGATTTTGATCTCCAATTCCCAAACAAAAGCATATCTTTTGTAACGATAAAATGCTGATGAAAATTTGTATAAATGATTGATGATGATTGTGTACGTTAATTTATAAATTATGTTGTGTTTACGATTCGTGCCAGAATGGAAAAAAATATAATTTTTCAACGAATCATCTCCGTACTTCGTCATTTTCACCCATATGTTTCCCATTATATTTTGTTATTCTATACATTTCTATATTTTTTCCTTTTTTTTTAAATGTGTGACTTATATTTTAATATAAACTATTAAATATTAAGTAAATGAACTGTGTGATATATTTATTGAAAGATATTTTGGTAATATTAGTAATATAATGATTTTAATCCGGACTATACAGACAATTAAAGACTTGCAATAGACTTAATTTGCTTTCGATTATAATTTAGAGCGATAAAATTTTGTTTAAATCCTTTCTAAATGTTAATTTGATAATTATGTCGGAAAGTATGCGGTGCCTTGCAATGTTCGAGAGTTCGTATTTAGAATAAATAGATAAATCAATATGAACAGATGCGAATATATCCATCGTATCATTTTAAGGCTGAAACAAAAATAAATTATGTAGGAGCAGGATTCAAGCGAATTATTTTTTCATGCGACTTTTGGATAAGAGAGTTAGAACTTTCCAATATATACACGTGATTAAGAATTCGTAATCTATATCTATACACCGGCAGTCAGTGTTGTGCAAGACAATCGTGATTATTACCCAAATGAGAAAGTGTATCAAATATATAGATGTAACTAACGTGCTGTTGCTATTTAGATCGTACGATTTATCACATATCTTATACAGACCAACTTTTAGAAACATTTGATCAATCGATAAAACTATCCCTATTTATATCGTAAACAGATTTGATTAAAGAAATTCTTATTTGATGAATATTTGCATTTATTTGTATAATGCACAACACTACTCGCGATACCTACTGCAATACTGTAAATATTTCAAGGCTTTTAACAACAAGGGCTTACATTCGTTTTGTCACGATGTCATCTTTGTGATCTTTGTATCCTTTTCTACTGCCATGAATTTATAATCTGCATATCTGTACATCGAAATAAGAACAAGAACCTGTATGTTGCTGCACTTCTATGATGGAAATATAATATATACACGTTACTTGTTTCTTACTAAAGGATCTCCATAATTTTTCGTTGTACATTTATTTCAAACCTATCATGACAAAATTTTATTTTTCTTATCGTTTTAAATCTAGCTAAATAAAAAAGCACATTTTTCTATATTAGCTCTTAATTCAAATTTAAATTATGTGAGATTATTAGAAAAATTACTTGAGAAAAAATTAAGCAGAGAGAGAGTGCGTATCTTATCAAAGAAATATCATATATATAAATAGCTTTGCATTTCCTAATATACATTTATTAATAGCCAGAAATATCTATGAATGTGTAGCGGATACCAATAAATGCTTGACCGAAGATGTAGCACGAAAAAGGAAAGTAAATACGTCCCGATTGAGACGACACTGATAACCCGGCCTGAGGCCTGAATGGCCTGTGACCCAATTGCCAA